TACTGGAGGACCTAGAAGGGTAGCCGCGAAAAACGACACATTTTGCCATGGAACCCTCTAGGAGGGCCGACGATTGCACGGGCCAAGCGGTTTCGCGCAAAAGACTCCACCCTCATCTTGCTGGTTGTCGGCAGGAAATGTCCTAATCCACACAAGAACCCTCCATTGTTTGTGGTGTTCATTAACTTTGGCCCCAAATTTGCCCACAGTCCTTCTTGATTCCCTGCTGAGAACCAGGAAGTAATCTTAACTTCAGATTCATCCGGACCCTCAGAGCCACACACAATAAATCCCTCCATTTACCAGACTCATGACTGGACCAAGCATTTGGGCGTCTTGCGCTTCCCCCTTTTGACCGGCAAGCAGTTCACTTTTTGCGGAAGGGCTGAGTCTGCACAAGGAACCAGAGTCGTTGAAGGAAAGCAAACGGAGCTTGCTTAAACAATAGTGGCTTGCATGCAAGTTTGAGTGCTTGGAAAATGATGGAAGCCTTCCCAGCAAAACGAGAAAGCGCTTTTGCGAAAGGGGTCTGAGATCGACCAAGGCAAGAGCAACCAGATGACCATCAGCAACGACAAGGGGAGGCTTTCGCAGGCTGAAATTGAGCAGATGATTCAGGCCGGGGGTTATGCTTGGCTGCGTGATGTTTGTTAGTTGATTGTTTGTTGGCTGATTGCTTGCCTGATTGGTGGTGTGCTTGCCTGCCTGCCTGCCTGCTTGCTTGCTTGGGTGTGTGGGTGGGCCTGGGTGGGTGTTCTGAAAGTATGTGTTACTTATGTATTGTGTAGGTTTGGTTGGTCGGTTGTTTGGCTGGTTGGTTGAGTGGCTGGGTGGTTTGCTTCCTTGTTTGCTTTCTCGCATGGCTCCCTGGCTTGCTGAAGCTACTCGGATGGCCGGTGTCGCTACTCAGTTTGGCTTAGTGGGCGTTGGCAGTACTAGTACAGCCAGAGGTCAAAGCAAAGACAAATGGGTGTGGCTCTTTTTAGGGTCCCCAAATCTTTGGTGTATTTTGCTTGGATGCTGGGACGTTAACTTGTTGCCAACTAATGGTTTTCCCCTTAAACCACTAAAAGTTAAACTTTTCGCAGGGGAGCAGAGTTTGCAACCGAGAAATGGTGGTGTGCCTTGCGGTTTCCCTCTAACAACACCAAAACAGGGGTACCCTCAAAAGAAAACAGACCCAAATGCTTTGGCTTGGGATACCGTGACGGAGAGAAGCGAGCTCCGCGACCCCATTCAGCATTCGCCTTTGCTTGGGTCCCGCTCATGTCGTAGGTTTTGTTGACAGATAATTTGGCTTTGGTGTGAAACTCATATTTCAAGCAGATACCAGAACTGCGGCTGTTGCTTCCCCAACGGCTACAAGAGTGCTCGTCTTTGTTTTCTTTGAGGGTGCTCCTTCCTTGGTTGCTTATGTGTTGCTTACGTGTTCTGTAGGTTTGGTTGGTGCACTGCGGCTATTGCTTCCCCCTTCTTCGGGCGGTGAAGGGAAACCAACTGGAAAACCACCCCAGTTGCGTCCAAATAAGAAAATAAAAACGCACGCTGCCAGGACCGCGGCTTTTCAGTGGCCTCAGCACTCGCCAATCTTTCAATCCTTCTGGGTTGTGGGCTGCCCTGTTTTTTGTTTCCCCGGGGCTGGGCCGTTTTTCAACTTGTTGAGCGGGGTCAAAAGATCTTTATCATCTCCCACGTCTAGGTCCCCCAGTAGTGCCCTTTCTCATCCGTTTTTGGGGGAGGGTTCCCCTACTTAAATAGACTACAGAAAAAAGGGCACCCTTATTATTCCATCCTCTCTACTGGAGGAGCTGGATGTTTTGTTGCTCTAGCTTCCATTTTGACACCAGAGCCAAGGTGTCCCTTGTCTCCAAACTGGGCGAGAGCCGTTGCAATGTGTGTGTGTGTGGTTTCATTTTCTTGAGGGGTTGGTCAACCAACAGTAAAGCGCCCATTTTGGGAAGCATCCAAATGGCTCTGTGTGTTTTGCGAGGCTCGGTACACTTTTCAGGTTGGTTAGGGAAAGCAAATGGAAAACCCTATGTCTGATACATACCCAATGGTAAACCATGACCCTTTAAAAATGGGTTAATGACCCCATTATTTTGGGTAATGACCAACCATTTTTTAAGGGTGAGAAGGAGACTCCAGGATGTTGGAAGGGACACCAAGAGGAAACCCATTGCTTTCCCCTAGCTGAAATTTCTGCACGACGAACACGGCAGGCCAGTTGCGGAGATGGACTCGCCGGCTCCAATGAGCTTCCGAGCTCGGAAGAGGCGTCGATTCCGTTGGTTTTGATGCCTGAAAACCCAAAAGGAACATGGCGAAGAGCCTGGCATCCACGAGGTTTAGGAGTTGACTCACAATTCTTGAAGAACTGCCTACCTGGAGTCTCTATCACCCTTTAAACATGGGTCAATGACCCCATTATTTTGGGTAACAACCAATTTTTTAAGGGTCATGGAGACTCTAGGTATTTGTTAGCGAGCTCCCCGATCGGGGGTGTTTCATGAGCGAAGGCCATGATCAAGGTCGTTGACTTGGGAATCCAATTCTGAATTCAGCTTCTGAACATATGGTAGCATTTGCAGACGGGATGCCAAGCCCGAAGGAAAACAGCTGGGACCCACTGGGATTGGGAGTCTCCCCATTCTTGTTTAACCTGGAAACTACCATCACACCGCACGTCCCAGTGGATCCATTTAGGCAACCCAGGGCTTGCCACCATTTAAACCCCACTCGGAAAATGACGAAGGGGCACCTATGGCTTGCCTGGGATTTAGTGGGTTTAGGAGTTGACGTTCAGGGAGAGAAGGGTTTCGTAGTATGTCCAATGAGGAATCCTGCGTCATGTGGTTGTTTTGTTCAGACATGTGGCCACGAAGTATTGATTCCCTGCCATCCCGCTCTTTTCAACATGTGTTTTTAGAAGACAGCAGGTTCTTTGTTTGTTTGGTGTCTTTGTTCGATGCATCGTGTGTTTCATCCAATATGGATCGGAATCTAGTCGACAGAAGCATTTCCAGCATGTCCAGTCGGTATAGGTACCAGCGGACATGATGTAAAACCTAATGTTGAACCCATATTAATCAACCAACCAACCAGTTTATGAATAGGGAGAGTCCCTGCATAAAAATGTGGGGATTCAGACCACTTTTGGAGGGGAACACCCCTGTATTCACAAACTGGGGTTGGTCAATATGGGGTCAACATTACAGGTAAGGATCCCTGGTTGCCTAAACTAGTGGCAACTAGAAGCACTGGGTCAGACAAGCATGGTGATTCACGCAGTTGGGCTAGTCCTGTTTCAAGCCATCGCTACAACATACTTGACACAAGCGCAGAAAGCCCCTTGCTTGCTGGTCAAGAGGATCGTCAACCGCATAGGTACTAGATGAACATTCTGAGCATGCCCCAAAAAACATGCGTCAAATCCACCGGCCATTTCGTTTATGGAAGTTGGAGGCCTGTGCCTGGCACATAATATGAGCAGCTGAGATTGCCAAGCTGTTCTACCAATGCATTGAGCAGAAAATGGGAGGACCATGTTCCGAACAAGTTATCTAGGCTCAGATGAAGCCTTTGCTTTCATACTCCGATCTCGATGTCCAAACATTTGTTAGCAACCAGGTGAGACATGCAAGTGCAAAGGTGGCTTCCCTTAGGGTTGATTCGCCAAATTTGGTGTGTCCCATTGGTTCATGGTTATTTCTATGCATGTCTACAGTCCGTTGGAAAAGACGAGCCCTGGCTTTCTCCTAGGCCTTTTCTTGGCCCGAAGGCTTTTCCAAGGGGCCGGCGAAACCGGAGTCTCCTTTTGTGGCGGTCTACGGTTCGGGGGACGAAAAGCAGGGCACACTTCAGAAACAAACAGGGAAGGGCATCCAATTGTCCCGCAAAGCAATCATGTGAGTGCTCATATGTCTGTCTTTTTTTTGTGTGTTTTACAACTGCTCCAAAATGGTGGTTTTCCTTTTAACTTCCCTTCGAAACCACAAAAAATGGGTAGCCGCCAAAAAAAAGCGAGACACGCCTTTGTGTTTGTAGGGGTTCTGCGCGCCCAGGCCCTTTCGTCCAATTCGTGAATGTGCTCGGGCTGAAACCCACCCTAAACCCATTGTAAACCAACCTTACAGACCCCTGGTGGTTTGAGTTTGATCCGTACCTGCGTTTGCGGATTTGAGGAATCTGCAATTGAACAATACTGTTGAACTAAACCCAAAACCGCAACTACGGATTCGAGGAATCTGCCAGTGACAAAAATCCCCAACTCAGCCCAAAACCGCTAAGCCCGCCCAAAGCCAACCCCAACAAGCCACCCTAAGCCACCCCAAGCCACTGAGGAACCCCCAAAAAGGCCATGCCATCGAAAAGCCAGGGCTACGGCCGTGCCAACGCGGCGCGCGTGAGCCGCGGCAGCGTGGAGGACTATTGGCCGGGCCTGGCCACGCAGCCCAGGCCGATGGCCCGATGGTGCCCCAGCGATCGGTGCCCTTTCTCATCCGTTTTTGGTTGGGAGGGTTCCCCTACCAAAATGGACTACAGAAAAAATCGGGTACCAACTTATTCCAACCTCTCTACTGGAGGACCTAGTCTTCTTTGTTTTGGGTTTGGGGTGGTTTGAAGCCTTCTAACAGGTCCGTCCATCCTTTGAACCAGTTTTACTCCCTGCCAATCTTGTCAGGTTCAGTTGCAACGAAACCAAGGCTCATGTTGACCCATTTTTTGTTCAACCCTAGTTTATGGGTGGGGGCCCCTTCAAAGAAAGGGACTGTTGACTCAACTCTTTTATCTCAACCCTTGAGGTATCTATAGTGGGATTGTTGGCACCCCCTAATGTTGACCCCATATGATTCAACCCCAGTTTATTCTACTAACACCCTCCAAAAGTGATCTGATTCCCCACATTTCCGCCAGGGACACCGGACCCCCTATTAATAAACAGGGGTTGAACTTTACGCGGTCTCTTCTTTTGTTTAGGTTTGAGGTGGTTTGGGGTGGTTTGGGGTGGTTTGGGGTGGTTTGGGGTGGTTTGGGGTGGTTTGGGGTGGTTTGGGGTGGTTTGGGGTGGTTTGGGGTGGTTTGGGGTGGTTTGGGGTGGTTTGGGGGTTTTGCTTTCAGGAGATTCGGTTCCAGGCAATTCTCGCACTGTTGGCAAGATCACCAGGGCCTTTTGGACCTTGTCTGCTGGGTCCACGGTCCGCGATCCACCGGGCGAAATCTGGGCTACCCGTGATATAGTGGCTGGAGAAGCCGTGAAACTTTGAAGTGTAGGCGGAAGGTCTCCATGACCCTTGAAAAATGGGTCACTGACCAACCATTATTTTGGGTAATCACCAACCATTTTTTAAGGGTCAGAAGGCGACTCCAGGTAGACATACCGCTTCAAATAGTCACAGCGTGCTCAGATGAAATCTGACATCCCGGCTCTAGCTCCTGGATTTTGTTTCTAGGGGTACCTTCCAGGGCTGTTTTTCTAGGGGTACCTTCCATTTCCATTCTTAACCCAGGGATCCGACTCTTTCGAGAAAACCTCCAGAAACCCTGGGGAAACGGCCGGCTTCTGGAAGGAACGATGGTTGAAAAGAATGGGGAATCAGCCCCTAGAGTTTTAGGGCATGTGCACAACAACCTAATTTGGTCCCATTCCTGAACCCCTGGTTAACTTTAAGGTGGCGTCCCGTCCTCAATGGCGCGCTTTTCTGCCAAACACCTCCGAAAAATCCGGCGGGTTGATTCATCTGAGCCAGCCAAGTGAGGGAACCCCTCTCGTTTCCCTCCCACCCTTTTCCACATGGAGCCGTTCGACATTCGGGGGGTCGAGTCCTCCCGGCTCCATTTTCCAGTCCCAGTTCCATGTCAAGAGAAGAGGCTCAGGGGCACCTCCGAGTTTCGGCGCTCTCCATGTGGAGTTCTCCGCCAAAAAGTTACCTGGAGTCTCCGGATCTGACCCGAATAACAAATGGTTGGTCAGAAAACCCGAAAAAAAGGTCGGTCATTGCCCCATTATTGTTTAAAGGGTCAGATCCGGAGACTCCGAAGGGTCTCCAGGGCCATGGGCGGGTTCTTTTTCGCTTTGGTTTCCCTCCAGAAGACAACGGGACAAGACATGGGCCCAGTGCGAGCCCAGGCCGGAGAGGCCACAAAAGGTAGGACCTACTATAGTGGCCTCTCGCGCCTGGGCCCGCACTGAAAGCACTGGTAGATGTGTTGTTGAGGACAGCCATGTCCTTGGTTTCACTTAAAATCCTCTTGAGGCAACCTTTGTCCGCGCTCTCGTAGCCTCGATTTGAAAGGCGCGATGAGAAGCAGCACTGCACCATCACCGTTCAGCAGCTCGACCAGTGTTGTTTTACGGTAGTGGTTCGCTAAGTTTGCCCTGAAATTCTCAAAGGGTGGCTTTAAACATCATCTTTGTGTTGCTGAAGTCGAACTTCCAGGTCAGTTTCTCAAAGATCCAATGGGCAGCTTACCAATCTTGGAAATTCAGACCACCCTTGATTGGGCTGGCTTTTGTAGAGGGCAAACGGGACACCCCTCCTTAGCCACCAAACTACCGATCTAAATTACCAATCAGAGTCCAGCTGAACAAATCAATTCGGGGATTATAAAATAGCCTGTCCATGTCAACTTCCGCTGAAACTTAGCAGGGTTGGTCTGAATGGAAACAGGCTTTCCTAGTTGGGTCATTTGGACCTTTTTGTTGGGGTGGGTCCCTCATTTTGGGATTTCCTCATGTTAGCTAGTACTTCCATACCTTTCTGGTGGAGTTGGCAAGCTTTTCATGTTTGTTGGCAAGTTTCATCATTCATCCGTCCACACCGTTCATTCTACAGTCATCCCAAATGCATTTTGCTTTTAAGAATCCTTGGTGTCATGGTAACTCTCTGATTGGACGGTTCCTGGGTGAAATGAACTTCCCTGCCCACTGTCCCACATCCCTTGCTCTCTAACAGTGCTCACTTGCTGCCGGTCACTTCATGGCCGGAGAGTGCCCCAACCGTCTCTCCCCTCTCCTCCCTCGGGCCCGCGCTGCTTGATGCAAGAGGGTGTATGAATGGTGGCTGACTCCGCCCGGCAGATCGATATGTGTTCTAGGATCTAATAGAACCTCCCATAAATCAACAAAGGGACTATTTGTCCCGGGTGCCCTGAAATTTGTGGTTTGCCCAAGAATAGCAAATGGCTTCACAGCCAACTGGGGTACAACGGATAAATCCTCAGCAGATCTCATGACTGCATGACAAGTGGACAAATTATAGTAAGCTTGGTGACTCAGGGGGTAAAGCACAACGAAGATTCCTTATTTGGGAGTAGACATTTCCATGTTGTGAGTTAGAGCAGCTTGCCCAGCATTTATCTCCACCCTCTTGGGAATGAAATTGGTGGAGGGAGATTTACATGTTCCATGTATGAAGGGGGAACTGGAGTCTTGGGATCCCCCCCTCCCAACCCGAGTGGTCGTCCTAGGTTCTACCACACTGTCACGGGCGGGGTTCCGTCTCCTCAGGACCGAGGGATTTTGGAATCCACCAGGGGGTGGGCCAGTGAAGAACCCCCTTAGAGAACCCAGAGGCTGCGAGAGCCGCACGGCGCTATTTGGAGTTGGCCTATTCAGAGGAACCTCCATTGATCATTCCTCACATGTTTGGACCCCCGCCGGGTCGCTTGCTGGCAAGGGCGTTTGCCTGGCTATGTGCCGAAACAAATGTCCGATACTGTGCATGGACAAAATCCTGCAGCACTTTCAAACCATGGGAAACCATTCTTTTTTGGTATTTGCAGGGGCATCCTCGTTCCAGGGTTTCTTAGGTTGTGCGAAATGGAATTCGTCCATCCACAGTATCAACTCACTTCCCGACTTCCTGGACTTCAAGCTTTTCGGCCAGACCATTGTAGTGGCAACCAACAAGTTCGCACTTTGTTTGGCCCATCTCGGGAAGTGAGACAGTTGTGTCAGAACCGATCTGGCTCTCGTGAATTCAGAGAGGAGCTTCCCAAGCACATGGCGCAAAACTCCTGGGAGGGGTTGGGAACCCATCTAGGCCTCCAAGCCAGGCGCGAGAGGCCACTGTAGGTAACCGATCGGTATAAATCGCTACCTCTAGGTGTTACATCATGGAGAAACCCCTGGTTTCGTGCTGCAGTGGCTTGCCTGGAAGCACGGGGTGGGCTACAACTGGACCAAAGCGAAGCACTTCATGTTGACCCCCTATTCATCAACCCTGTTTATTGTTATGAGGGGGGGTGCTGGGTGTGCCCCTCCCAAAGTGACAAGGCGCCCTGACATTAAGAAGCAGGGCTTCAGAAATAGGGTGTTTCCATGAGCGATTCGTGGCCAAGCACCACCTGGAGTCTCCATGACCCTCAAAAAATGGTTGGTCAGAAAACCCAAAAGAATGGTTGGTCATTGACCCATTTTTATTTCGGGTCGGATCCGGAGACTCCAGGTAAATCGGGGGTTTCCATTCGCGCTTCGTAGGCCAAGCACCGTTTTTTGCAGGATGTTTTGGCGGCCATCGACGACATGGAGCAGCTCTACACGAGCTGCGACTGGCAGGGCCGCCTTGCGGAGCGCCCTGGCGTGATGTGGCGATGGTCAAAACCAATGGGATCCCATTTTGGGGTAGATGCACCGCCCATTTAGAACCTGTACGATTGGGATTTTGACCCACGGCCACATAAAGGGCCCAATGGAAACACGGATGCGGTGTTGTTGGTTGTAGGGAAACCCAAGAATATGCGGCTTTCAGGTGTTGGTTAAACAAACACGTGTGCGGTGTTCATATGTTGGTCTGAGGAAAACCCAACAAATGGCAGGTTTCTCTTGTAGTCGGAATCCCTTTTCAACGTGGTGTTCCTTTTGGCTTTCCTTTTAACAAAGGGATTGACAGAGGGTGTGTTTCATATAATGGATGGAACGCTGACAGGTGGTTTGCTTGTGGTTTTCCAACAAGCGCCTCCAAAAGTTGGTATCCTCAATACCACGCACCCGGTGAGCCGTTATTGTGGACGGTGCCGACAAAAAGCGAGTTCCAACGAGCGAGCCGAGCTCACGTGTCACTGTTGTTCACATCCCGCGCTCGCGACACGGGTTGACTTGTCACAATTTCGTTCTGCTTCTTGGGGTGATCGAAGTCAGCAAGTGGTTGGTGCCCGGTTTTTTTGAAACTACCCTCAACATAGCTAGAAGGTACCTGGAAGATTCATGTCAAGAGATCTCGATAGATGCTAGCGCTGAGGCAGGGAGCTAACTTCATGAAAGTCTAAGGCTGGATGCCGCTTGGTTGCACGTCTCTTGCTCGGCAGATACAGGACACGTTTCCTTGATCCCAGTTAGTTGCCCAGTGGTGCCCGTTTGTCCTTTTTTTGGGGAAGGGTTCCCCCTTAAAGTCAACCAACCAAAAAAGGATGCCCGTTTTTTCCCATGGCCACTGAGCATCTGAGTGAAAATGTGGGTTGTCACGTTTGCCATTCGGCAAATTGCTTGTTTAGGGTCAAAGCTGCTGAGGCCAGCGTATGTTTGAGGGTCGTGTTGGCCAGATGCATGGGGACGCAACAGGGGATTCGAGCCCGCGTGCGCGGTGCCAGGCCCTGTCTGAGGCAGGGCCCACATTGATTGAGCGGCAGCCACTTGGTGCCGGCACAAGCGCAGAGCCACTTGCCACCATGTACAGCAATTAGCTTCGCTTCCAGCGCCTTCCGGGGCAATGAGCCGATCCAAATTGTGAACATCCTGGAAGGCGAGTTGGAAGATGGACGCTTGTTGCAGAAACAGCCTCTTGTACAGTCGAACGGGCAAACAAAAAGGTGAAGCAGAGGAGGGAGGCCTGAGCGTTACTTGCAGATTCCACAAGTGGCTGTGGGCTCAAAAGACCGGTACCAAAATGGAACCCTGGTAAGTGGAAACATGGACCAAAAGCTGTGTAACCCCTCCTGTTTCATTTTGAGCCACACCCAAGTGAATTGATGGTTTCCGTTTTAAAGACGAGGCACGAGGTCGACTGGATCCAGGTTGATTCCGTCCAAATTCAGGAGCCCCTCCATGCCCAAAAAAACAGTTTGCGATTGGAAAAGCGGGCAGTTTCACTGGAACCTATCAGTGTAAGCCAAAGAGGGTATAGGAAACTATGCCCTGCCTTGTGCGTCAAAAAAAGAGAGACCCTATCAGCAAGTTCCACCGTTCAACCGAAAAACCCATGGACTCCTTGACCCTTCAGCATGTTTTTGTTGAGCCGCGAGGCATTCCCTCGGTGCTGGCGCACTTGCATGCCATGCGATGGCCGGGTGGCTTACTCCACTGGGGTTGAAGCTGTTTGGGGCTGAGGGACTCGGTCCAGGTGCCGTGTTACAAAAAGTTTTCTGCGGGACGGCTCCCCTACTAAAATAGACCACAGAGAAAAAAATGGGTATGGGTTCCTTGGAAAAGGTTTCGGTTTCGCGCGCCTTCCCTTGAAACACTTTTGCTGCAAGTCACAACTGGCCCCAAACCCGGGACCCTTGTTCTAACCTCTCTACTGCAGGACCTAGGGGAGGTTATCCTCCAACTGACCCTCCATGTGGGGATTACAGGCACCCCGAAGGCAATGTTGCGGGCCCCTAAAGCCATGGAAGGGATAGGCTTCTGGGCTCGCCGCAAGGCAAAGCTAAACTCCCGTGGATTGCTAGACAGAACAGCTTGGGCATTATAATATATACATATATATTTACTTTGGTGCATTTTGCTTGGCTGTTAGGACTTTCACTTTTTGCCAACTAATGGGTTTTCCACTAATTAAGCCACTAAAAGTTAAACTTTTAGCAGGGGAGCAGAAAGCAACCGAGTATATATACATGGGTGTGTCTGTCTTAGAAATACCTACTGCAAGCAGCGCTGTGAGCCCGGAGTTCTTCCACCCGAAAAGAATTTCCAAAGTCGTGCTTGTACATACACTATCAGTAACAAATTGAACAAGACAAACCCCAAGCAAGGTAGGCACAAGCTCCAGCCCAAATCAAGGTAGAGAACAAACCTCGTTTGCGATGAACATTCCACAACACACCCTCAGTAAATGCGGAAAAAAATGAATTCACCAAATTGAAAACAACCCTCAGAAAATGCAAAATGTGCAAAAGCCTCGAGAATTCAAACATCCAAAGATCCCAGTCTCAGCAACAATGTCTGGGATGGACATCTACCTAAAACTGTCAGCAAATGCCAAATTACCAACGAACCTCGGGAATTCCAAACATCCCCGAAATCTCAACAACTCTAGCGGCATGCTCTAAACATGTGAATCTTTGGGAATCTTTGGGAATCTTTGGGAATCTTTGGGAATCTTTGGGAATCTTTGGGAATCTTTGGGAATCTTTGGGAATCTTTGGGAATCTTTGGGAATCTTTGGGAATCTTTGGGAATCTTTGGGAATCTTTGGGAATCTTTGGGAATCTTTGGGAATCTTGGGAATCTTTGGGAATCTTGGGAATTGTGGGAATTGTCTTATCGAGTTCTTTTGGAGTGTTGAATTTACTACAGGTGTTTTTGGATTGTTTGGAATTCCCAAAATGTTCGGTTGTTTTTGTGAGTGGCAATCCCCTGGGAACCAGGAATTGTGGATTTACTGATGTTTAGTGTTTTGTTACTTGCGGAAATTCCCAAGAATCTCGAGTTGTTTGGGGAAAGTTGCATTTACTGAGGGTTTTTGTTTGGATGATCCATCCCCGACATATTTGCTGAGAGTTTGGGACTTGAGGATTGTTTGGAATTCTCGAGGTATTTTGGGAATTGTACCTTTACTGAGGGTGGTTGTGGCTCACTTGCCCAAAGCGAATCGACCTTTTGACCTTTTGGTTTCCCCGGTTTGGCCCAGTTTTAGTCCTGGCAACCCATTTGGGCGATCACCTTTATTTTCCAGAGGTGGAGTTCTGCATCTGAGGGCTTAGCCTTGGAATGTCGGAATCCCCTTCGCGAAAGCCGTTTGCCAGGAGGACGTCGCTGGACTGGACCCATTTCCTGGTTGAAGTCTCCAACGTATTAAGGGTACGCCAACTGATTCGGTCAACACTTTGATGCATTTTGCCAAGGGCTGTTAGGACTGAACAACTTTTTGCCAACCAATGGGTTTTCCCATTAACCACTAAAAGTTAGTCACTTTTAGCAGGGGAGCAGAAAACAACCGAGGACACCGATCCCTTTTCGGGGATCCCTTTTCAGCAGTGCAAAGTGATCTACCTGACCATCTGAAGGGTCTGTTGGTTTGGGCCGTGACCCATTGGCCAAGCAGCAGCACTTGTTTCTTGTTTTTTTTTTTGTCTTTCGAGGATTTTTTTTTGTTTTAAGGGAAGCAGTTTTTGTTCTTCCTTTTTTGTTTTGGGCGAGGATACCAGTTTTTTTTTTAAGGGAAGCAAGAGGAAACCAACGATTCTGGGTCCGCACAGAAAAGACACCCTCCGCGTGTGGGGAAAGTCATTTCTCCTGGCACTCTTTGGTCCGCGTTCTCGATTTCGTGGGCCTCTGGATGTGTCCCGAAATCTGCCGATGGTTGCGACAAATCCAAAAAAATATCAAAAAAAAACCGAAAATCGCGCCACCAAACGAGTTGCAATGGTTGAAACCCAAGGGCGTTTCATGCGGTTTACGGGGGGAATCAGCGACACCAGGGTTTCGTTAAGGTGCGAAATGGGTTTCTTCCATCCGTACGATGGACAGTTTGAGAGTCCACCCTTACAAAACATTGGTGATCAATGTCCACCTCGGATTTAAGATAGAGCCCGATGCGATGGAGACAAACGGGTGGCCTGACAAGATTAACAAACGCATCTGGAAAAAAGACAAGCATCCCCCCCCAGCAGCCCAATGTGTTTGCAAAAAACAACTTAAAGAAAGGAAAAACGCTCCAAATCTACCAGTGCAAAATCAAAAGGGATTGAACTGTGACCCTATTTGGGGTTTGCGTGACCCTCAAAATTCGGACTCGTAAAGGAGGTTCCCCCCTTTTTTGGTTAACAACGAGATATCTGAGACTATAGTTTGAGGTCCAACGTTGCAACCTGGTTGGTTGGGGCAGTGTTCTCTGGGGTTCAAAACCACCATTAGGATTGTCATCATCTAAATTGGGTCAACCTTTTTTGCTTGGGCTCAGTAGGGAATGTGGGAATGAACTCTCCCTAAAAGGAAATCACCAGTTGGATGTTTGTGTTTCTTTTTTTGTTTTTGAGGGGTTGAACTGTCCCGTAAAGGAAACCACCAGTTGGATGTTTTTGGAAGGGGTCATTCCATTTCTCCTTCCCTGCCGATCGCACCAGCAAGTTGTTCACTGCAAAAGTGGCACTGAATCTTTATGGCCGTCTTGGCGGGGCGCTCCGAGCTAACACCAAGTTGTCAGATGAGCCACTTTCTCAAAACCCGGGTAGAAGAAGGTTAGTAAGGAGCAGTCCCAGCCAGAAATAGTTGCAGATGTCCGCCTTCGTAATTCTTGAAGCATGGTCCTGGGTAGCCATAATAGTACCGGGTTTTGATCGTGACTCAGATGTTGCCAGCATGACAGAGTCCTTGCCCCAAGCGAACGTGGGACCTAGCCATGTTTGAAGCTCACCAGATTTTTGTTGATGCCAAACGAGGCACTAAAGGGGTTGGACTCTATCCATGATCATCTCAGTGGCAGGTTGATGAATGATTATCCTTCGCGATGGGATGGACAGTTGTCATGGTATAGACTCCTGGTGTCTTCAAATGGATGTATGAATGTGTGTGTGTGTACGTGCATATAGGCTTCCCCTCTCTGTATATATATATATATACACACGTGATTGTGTGTGTGTGTGTGTGTTCAGGGTAGGTTCTTGGAGCCTATATAATATGTCTACATCTAGATACATACGGATATCTGTGGATACATACATATGCATATATATATATATATGTATATCCCAGTGCTTCCAGGCGTTTCGCCACTATAGTAGGCAAGCAGGGTTTCTCGCCAGGTTTTGCCATCCCCTGGTTACCATCTTGTGGCGAAAGGGCCTGGAAGCACTGGATATACACAGGTGCTTATGTACACATATATGTGTATATGTATTTATATGCACCCCCCCCCCCCCGGTCAAACGCACCAAACCAGGGTCCATGGGGGGTACCATATGTATATATATATACACACACACACACATCTGAGCAGTTGGTTTTTGGTCCGAGGAAGGACCCGGAGCTCTTGGAGCTGCTCCTGACGCCTGGGCCCCGGCGGCCTCGTGTCGCCGTTTCTCCTGGGCGGGTGGTGGATCCGGGGATGTTCGGTTGGACGGCTTGAAGGGGCGATCGGGTACTTAGGAAGTGATTAGTAAGCCTCGTTATAGCCCACTGAACGGAGACTTCTAAGCCCGGCAAGTGGGTTATAACCATGGTTATTACCTACTTAATGTTGACCCCGGATTAACAAACCCCCGGTTGATTCATATGGGGGTGGGGGCCCTCCAAAGTTATACTTCCCCACTGAAACCGGGGACACCCCCATATAAATAAACTGGGATTCATTAATCCGGGGTCAACATTAAGTAGGTAATAACCGTGGTTATCACCCACTTGCCGGGGTTAGAAGTCTCCGTTTAGTGGGGTTATGCAGAGGCTACTAATCACTTACTAAGTACCCGATCGCCCCTCCAAGTGTGGATGAGCGAAATCCATTTCGCACCACGTAAGAAGCCCTGGCTCTGATGCTTCCCCAATCATCACTTGCTTGTTAATACCCGGATTTGGCGGTTCATTCATAATGGGTATCAAATGGATTGTTGGTAGCCAAGGTAAATAGAATTTGTTGTCTGGGGTTCATCCATTTTTGACTGCTGCGAGAAGCGGATTTGTGTAACTCACTGTAGATGGTTGCGAACTCCGTTTCGCGCCACAAGAAGCCAGGGTTTCTGATTCGGGTCCCCAAGGTAAATTCCGTTCGGTATGGTTTCCACCATGGCTTCAATGTGGTGAGAACGGATTTGGTCCACCAGCGGTGTTCTATTGGAAGCCACCAGGTTAAAAACAAATACAAAACAATGAAGGGGGAAACATGAAAAGCACAAAAGAAAAGGGAACCATGAACAGCACAAAAGAAAAATGGAAGCATGAAAATCCCAAAATAATGTGACAAGCAGAAACATCACAAGAGAAGAAGATGACACCAAGAGAACCCGATACACTTCAGTTGTTGTTGTTAACTTTTTGGTTCGGTGGAGGGAATCAACTTTCAGGGTTGGGTTTGAAGTTGCGAAAAGTTGGGTTTCATGAAAGGACGTTGGATGGCTTCTCTTTCTGAGGCTTATTCCCTCGACCCTCGTACACGTCGCCCAGTGCTTCCAGGTACCACTGCAGTAAGTAACCAGGTTTTTTTAAACCTATAGGTGGACTCATCATGAGTCTGCATGACCCTTGAAAAACGAGGCTTGAAACGCCTAGATCCGCACTGGGTCTAGTAAGGTTCTCCATCGACCGTAGCTGTCATCATTTGTTCTAAGGCCTGGATGATTCTTAGGGCGGATTTGAAACGGACCGCTCGTCCGGTAGCTTTGGGTAACAAAAGAGTGTGGGGGGCTTCCCAGGTTTTTCGAGCAACATATTATCTTTCACAGGGTGGTAAGGGTAGCTTCAAGGAAAAGAGCAGAGCTGGTATTTGGTGGATATTTGAGTACTTTCCCGGTGTTTGTTTGCAGCTGGTCTGTTGCAATGAAGCTTCAGGAAAGGTCTTAACCCGAAGGACTTTGAAGCGTGGTCCACATTTTTGGACCGGGAGTCTGCTTCATTTCGACTTCAGAAAGATTTGTTTTTTTGACCCGTGCGATTTGTTGGACGGGCCCCTTTTTTTCCGATTTTTCGGGAAGCATGCTTCGACCTCAGGGCAGAGGTGCATGTTTCTTGGACGTTGGAACTCTAACTTTTTGCCAGCTAATGGGTTTTCCGTATTAACCCACTAAAAGTTATTCACTGTTAGCAGGGGAGCAGAGTTTGTAACGGAGATGGAAACTCCACTCACCCGGAAGAGGACCTTTCGTCTCAAAGAGGTCTCTGGCGACTTCCAAGTTGGGCCTGGGGCAACTGATTCTGCGATCGCGGGCGTGGCATCATGAAGGTTCCCGGCGTGATCCCCGAAAAGCAATCACGGGTGAATAGGGCGCGATCAAACGCTGTTCCATTTGCCCAAAGGAAAACCTCCAAAGGGATTTGGGTGTTGTTTTGTTAAACTACCCCATGGCTTGAGCAGTCTGAGTAATCGTCCATGGATAGTTTTGATTCCAAGCCAAAAGCGCATGGTAGGCAAGGTTTCATCGTCGCAGAAGACCTGGGGGACGGGTACTTGACCAGAGTGCTGGAAGCGTGGCGCGGGACCCCGCTTGAGAGCAGTGGCAGCTGTGCGTTGGGAATTTCTCGAAAACCACGGGAACAGGTACCTGGAGTCTCCTTCTGACCCTTAACAAATGGGGTCATTACCCAAAAAATGGGGTCGTTGACCTATTTTAAAGTGTCAGAAGGAGACTCCAGGTGTATGTTTTTGAGCTACAGCCAATTTGGGTGGCCAAAAACGCTGAAGGTCTTCCCTTTCCCTCCGGGAAAATTGACTCCCCCACGTTCAAAGTTGGGGCCGGGGTTTAACCCAACTGAACCACAGGAACAGGTTCACATCCCAATCCAAACCACCCTTAATGGGGTTGCCTGAAATTTGAGAACATGAGAGATCCACTAGGTGATTGATTCGATGGTTCCGTGTTTGATATTTCCCGTTAAGCCCGAACAATTGGTATGGCTTGATACCTCGGTGTTTGTTTTGGTACGGAGTGCTTGTGATGTCCAAGCCCTCGCGTTTGCAGGGCCGCTTCATTGAAGAATCTACAAAATAGGTGTATGTTAGGTGTCCAGAGTCAGGAGAGTCAGGAGATCTTTTCCTTTTCGCAGAGTGAGTCTTGAGGCTAATTTTTGTGTCTCAAGAGCCTGCAGCCCATTTCGAGACACATTTTCCAGACCAAAGTGAGGTCAACGAGGCCTTAGCGCGAGAAAACACAAAACCTTTGCCGGTGCTTCCAGAGGCAAGCCACGCTATGGGCAAGCGCCAAAAGTTCCCCATGTAGAACCTAGCGATGAAAAAACTTAGCGATGAAAAAACTTAGCGATGAAGCTACCGAAGGGTTACTGTGGCAAGCGCCTGGAAGCTCTGGAAAAGATAAAAAGCGGCACGGGGACCGTGAAATTCGTGTTCTTTCAGCCCTGCACTAAGACTTGGTGCTATCCCTCATGACTGTCTATAAAACCAAGAAGTTCTACCGGACATCCTTGTTCGGCAAGTATTTGGCAAATTTCCAGTAGACATTCCTGTATTTTCTAGTGACTCCATTTTCCTGTATAGGTAACCAAGCGCTTGCCACTCTTTAAGCACCAAATTCAATTAGCTGGTTACCGAGACACCAGTGCTTCCAGTTACCACTATAGCAGGTAAGACCACATATTTTTGCCTGTAGGCTTCAACATGCTGGTTTCCCCTGTCCCCCAGTAGTTCCCTTTTACCCCTTTTTTGGGGGAGGTTTCCACCACTAAAAAAGACTACAGAAAAAGAAGAAAAATCGGGTACCAACTTATTCTAGCCTCTTTACTGAACCCAGTATAGAGTGGCGAAACGCCTGGGGTTCACTGGGTGTGGCTCAATACTAAACAGGAGGGCAAACCGCAGAGTCCATGTTTCCACTTACCGATCGGGCAACCCATTTTGGACTACCGGTTTTTTGAGCCAAAGCCATGCGTTGCACCGATCTGAACGGTCAGGTCCCGGCATGGCCTCAGAGACCCGGAGGTGGCGGATCGTGCCGAGGGCCTCGCGAAGCAGATCGTGGGGAGCGCTCAGAGACGGCGGTTCGGGGGGGCCGGGGGAGCTGGGCGCCTTGTTTTCTTCTCCGGACGTGTTTTTCTTTTTCTGGGACCGGTGCCTAGCACTTGGACCCGAAAAATGAGAATGACCCGAAGATGCTAGCCAGGTCCAGAGTAGACCTTTTCCTAACCAGTTTGCTGTTTCAAACGGATGGGAACCCAGGATTAGACCCAGACTAGGGGGGGTTCACCAACAAAAGTGATCTGGATTCCCCAAACATCGGACTCCCTCCAATCAATGAACCAGGGGTTTATAAATCCGGGGTTCCCATACTGTGTTTGTTGAGGGTACCCTTTTTGTGTTTAAAGTTTAAAGTAACAAAAACAGGTTTTGTTGTTTTACGATACTCGCACACACACACACATGGAGCACTCAATGTATTACTTTCTTATCTTTCTTTATTTGTGTTTGGGGGGGAACGGGTATGGCCGTTGTGTTTCTTCTTTACAACCTTCTGGGACCAGATGTAAACCAAAAGGAAGCCGCCTCGCCATTTTGCTTGGGCTTCCGTCTCATGTTCGGCCTGAACTGTTCGCATCCGGTCAGTCCAACCCACCCAGACGGTCCGTCCCAAACGGTACCCCATATTTACGTCAGGGTGGTAACCCAGGTCGTACCCCACTTGGGGTTAACCTTTTATTCGCGGGATGTCACCCATGTGGCCAGCCAGTTACTAGCATCGAACATCCAAGTATCGTGATGGGGATTGGCGAAGTACAGATTCTGAAAAAATGTATTCACAACTGTGAGATACAAAAACCCACTGGGCAAGAAAATGTGATCCTCCGGTTATATGGCGAGCGTGCAGCACCAAACCCAAAAGCAACTTTAGTTCATTCATTCATTCATTCATTCATTCATTCATTAATTCATTCATTCATTCATTCATTCATTCATTCATTCATTCATACATTCATACATTCATTCATACATACATTCATACATTCATACATTCATACATTCATACATTCATACATTCATACATTCATACATTCATACATTCATACATTCATACATTCATTCATTCCTACATTCATTGAATCCTACATCCATTCCTACATTCATTGATTCCTACATTCATTTGTTTCTACAGATTTAGCAGGGTGACAAGCCCGCTCAAAGTGGGGGCAAATTCAGTCATTTCTGGGGGGGGATTCATCGGGTCAGTATGCTTCGCACAAGTCCGACGGTGGCATTTTGCCTCGAAGAAGCCAGTTGCAAGTTCCACGGTTAAGCGTCCACCATAGGGTTTTTAATTTGCAACTGACAACACCCTAAGAGGACTTTGGATCGCTGGTTGGGCATGTCAATGAGACAGGGGTGCAACTAGGTGTTCCCTATGAGTGATTCAAGACCGCCTTTTTGTTGCTGATGTGGCGTGAGTAAAGAGCACTGTCAACTGAACATTCCAGACCAATCAAACGGGTACCCTTGCTGAACAATTTCTAATCAGTGGAAGCATTTCTCATTTGCCTGGAGAGGAAGTTATCCACGCGAACATGTTGATTGGCGGCTCATTGGTTCGAGGCGGCTTCGTTGCTTCCTTCCTTCCTTTCTTCCTTCCTTCCCTCCCTCCTTCCTTCCTTCCTTCCGTCTTGATGTGGCTTGTACTTTGTTGAGGGTACCCGTTTGCTGCAGCTGGCTGAGAAGAACTTATTCGTTCGGTAGTGTGGCTGTTCCCAAGGCTACTTACCGCGCTTTGGGAGATGGTTACTTGTCAATATGTCTAACAAGTTCCGCTCTTTTGGTCAATTTCTGCTCGACCCTGGTGGGTCCTATGGTCGCAATGAAGCTGGACATAAGACTTGAGCGCGTTCAGATCTGCAATTGCTACGCCTGCCCCATGAATTTCAAGCAAGACAGCTGATCGAAAGACTTGAGTTCCTTCAGCGCTGCCAAAAGCAAGACGCCTGTTCCGTGCACGTCAATGGCTACTCGCCGACCAAGCTGGTGATAAGACATGCAGATGTTTGCACAGCAAGTAGGCAGTGCCTGCCCACCCTCTCTGAAGGAGTCGAAGCCGAGCGTACATGTGGCCAACAGCAGTGCAAGCGATTGGAGGAAGAGGTATTGGCATTGGCTTGATTGCTTGACTTGCGGTTCACTGGAAAGAGCCAGCAACGATGTGAGATCAGACCAAGAAGCACCAAAGCCCGTTGCACGGGTGGCCAAAGGACAAGGAGCACCGATTTGGATCGACTGGAGTGTGTGGTGCGCAAGCAACCAGGCACCGAGCCACGGGGGCGGCAGGGTTCAGGTGTTGTGTGTGCTCAAAGCCGCATACTGTTTGCGAGCGCCAAGGTCCCTAGAAAAAGTGCGCTTTAGCGTGGCGAGCCTTCGGCTGAAGTTCACTGCCCCTGCCTGCAGCTGCCAATTTGGCCAAGTTGCAAGCATGCTCATCTGCCAAAAATGAACGAAATGCTAGTCTAAGGTGAGTCCACGACGGTCAAATGGTTGATCAATGAGGCCAGCCTTTGAGCTGACAGCCTTGTTGCAGGCAGTGAGCTCTGCGCCGCGAGCTTATTCAGTGACTGGTTAGGCTGTTGTAAGCATTGCAGCTGTCGACATGACAGATGTCTTCAAAGGTGACAATCAGTGTGTGCTGCGTGCGGCCCCGATCCCTCCTTCCTACCACTACGCAGTGTTGGTGGACGGTTGGGCTGCACTTGTCAGCTGATCGCGCCGTATGTGCTATCGGAAATCATACGTCATATGCGCATTTGTCACGCTTGGCTTGGCAACAATCCCTGCGCAGCAGGAAAGCCATGGGAAGTGCGCTCTCGTGCAGCCAGTCGCCTTAGGCCAAGCTGAGGCTTGGAGTCTCTTCAGTGTTGGCGGCCATTTGGGCTGCAGTTGCAAGCACGGCTGGCCGGCATCGCGCACGGATGTATGGAGCGCCCGCTAGAACGAAGCACTTGGGCATCACGCTTGTAGAGTGAGCGATTTCACATGTTTGGCAACAATCCCAGCTGCACCGTCTCACTGGCATGTCGGCTTCGTATCCGATAGACTGTTTGAACCATCCAAAGTCACTACCTGAACCGCCTGAACCCTCAACATTCCCTGAAAAATCGGTGAAAGCCCCGAAATTAGGGGGTGGATGCCTGTATTGAAATGCCAGCTTGAGGGTCGAGGTAGCTTGGGTATGCGCTTCGGCGCCAGGCACCGCAGATCTGCGTGCAGAACGTGCGCGCCGCACGCGCGCGTGCTATCTTAAGACGGCAGGCTCGAGATATCCCACTCCGTTACGAGCACTTGATTCGTGATAGGCGCTTGACATGGTACTGTTCGCTGCAAGGCAACAAGCCTTTTGCTTTCTCCCTTTGGCAAGGTGCTCGGCTCCTCACTTGCGTGCTAGGAGCGGGGAAGCGTGCAGCCGCATTTGCCTTAGGCCTAGCTGACTGCCCATGCTTGGCCCTTTTTTACCCCTGCTTCCTATCTTGAATTCACGCAGCGTTGGCGGGCGGTGCTGTGTTTGCAATGGCAGCCGCAGATCTCAGCTTGCAGATTGTCTTTGGGCACCCGTTTCACTGGGGGCATTATTTTGACTGTTTCTGGGGGTTATCAAAGTCAGAAATTGGATTCGGTTCTTTCCCTATAACCCACCACTGAACGGGGGTGACTTTGATCATGGTAAAACAATGAGGCCAGTTTCAGCCAACTTGCTGAAAAAAGGCGAGCTCCTGACGGAGTCTAACTTATGTGGCCAAGATTGCTGCGAGCTAGAGGGAGTTGATCAGTCGCTTTGGAAGACAAAGACGTTCCAATCTGTCGAATGCGCCAAGGTAGGCCTTGATCAGAAAACCTGAAATAAGATCTGCATACTTTCTGAGGGGTAAAACGAGCTCACTTTGATACACATCCTTAACTAGAAAACAATATGGGGACTTGTCATGTGTGTCAAGACTCCCTGTAGCAGAGTACATGCCGCGGAAGTTGCTCTCGTGCAGCCAGCCTTTGCCAGACCCTCCCCTGCCTGCCCAAGCTTTGCTCGAAACCTGCTTCCAATTTTATTTTTATGCAATTTTGGTGGTTTGGCCTGCATGTATAAGCATTGCGGTGGGTGGCTGACTGATCGCGCCGTACTATCCAGAATAAGCTCAGGTGATATCCCCAACAGCATGCTGTGCTCTTTTTAGTGCTCGCACCACCCCGCAGCCCTCGAAGAATCTCGTGGAACCCTCGTGGAACCCTCGTGGAACCTTACCTTAGGGCTGCCCCGGACCACCACGGAGCCTATCTGGGCTGAGACCCCAAAGCTTTCAGCTGTTGGGGAAACATGAAAAAATCAACGCAAGTCCCAATTTTACACCAATCCGCTTCAGTGAGCCCTTTGTGGTTGCCAGCGAACACTTCAGCGTATGTGGATCATGTGCAACAGCCCGGTGACCTGCCAGGGGATTGCGCTCTCGTGCGGGTGGAGCAGCTTTTTTTGCCTGTGGCCTAAGCCCGTCCTGTCTTGAGTGTATTCGTGGCCATTTGCGAGCGCCGCGCGCGCAGATGTTTGCCCTGCGCTGCATGTGTTATTCGGAATGGCGCAAACAAGGCAAGGCATGCAAGGTTTCGCCACACCTCAGGTGAGCCCTTTGCAATCCGTTGCAGTGGCTGGCATCAGCAACGTGTTCAGTGGTTACATGCCAGGAAAGTGCGCTCTCGTATAGCCAGCCTTCGCTTTAGGCCAACCTGACAGCCCCTGCCTGCCCAAGATGCCCGAACTCTGCTTTCTACCTTGAATTTAGGCTGGGTTGGGGGTCGATTGGGCTGCGTTCGAAAGCATTGTGGTTGGCACATCACAGATGCTTGCAACGCAGGTGACTGCTTGTGCCAAATTTGCTATCCGAACACGAAAACACAATGCCACAACGCAATTTCCATGTTTACCGATCCGCTTGGAGGAGCTGTCCTTTTCATGTAGGGCTAAAGCAACGATGCAACGCAGGGCACTTGCATTTCGTGTGGATTGACGTCAGCTATAACTTGGTTTTATATTCAAAGCTGAGTCCGTGGTAAGACGACTGGCACTAAATATCTGCATTGCTCAGGCCGAGCATCGGATATTCGGGGCCAACTCAGAGCCCTGACGCCGGGTTTCCAACCCAGGCATTTTGCCGCTTTTCTCCGAAAGAGCTGCAGGGATTCAGAACAACTCAGTGCCCAGCCCGAACGCTCACGTCTGGCGCACTTTTTTGCACCCCTCCTGCCCTGAATGTGTTTCTGGCCCAAGAAAGTGCGCTCTCGTGTAGCCAGTCTGCGCCGCAGGCCGAGTTGACTGCCCCCTGCCCAAGCTTTGCCCGCACCCTGCTTCCTATCTTGACTTTATTCGGTGTTGGCGGCCAATTAGGCCGCATGTGCAGGCGCCGCACAAATGTCATGTGGCCGCAGCGCAGGATGTGTGCGCCGCATGTGCTATCGTACACCACTTGAAAAGACACGCGTTCGATATATCAAAATCCGTTCCGAACGCTTGATCAGTGATATGGGCGTTTGACATGCTAATGTTCGCTGCAAGGCAACAAGCCTTTTGCTTTTGGCTAGCGGCTACTGCCCCGCTGCAAAGTGCTCGGCTCCTCACCGGCGGTTGAGGCCCCATCAGACAGCTGCGAGAAGTGCGCTCTCGTGCTATAGCTGACTGCCCCTCCCATGCTGTGCCCGAACCCTGCATCTCAACTTGCTGTCATTTGTGGGTCTCGCTTCGCCCCCGCAAGAGGGTTGCGACGGGGTCTGAAGGGGTTTGGGGCTTCGGCTGGTTTGACTCCGAGATCTTCCAACTGCACGATGTTTTTCGCTCGGACATAAAATCATCCATCTTTCTTGAACACCATGCCTTTGCTCAAAAAGTGATCGCTTTCCTGATTATGGAAAAAGAGGGACAGCTAAAAAGTACGCTTTTTGAAAATGCGCCCGTTTGCGCGAAATTGCACCCTAGCTGCGTGGAATTGCGGCCGTTGTGCGGCCTCATTCCTTGGCCGGAATCACGCTGTTTCACACATGTTATGCACGAGTCCCCCCGAAAAAAAGCACTCGTTCCGAAAAAAATGCTTGCGTTTCCCCTAACAGTGGCATCGTTTTGCCGAGAAGTTTCCGTGTGGGGCTGCGGTTTCAAGAAGAACATGCCACACCTTGATCTATGTTGCCAGCTAGGCTGTTGCAAGCACGGCCGCTGAGATGTACACGGAGGAACCTGTGCACGTGTGCTTGCGGCGTGAAAAAGGCCACTGGTTCTTCACATCCCAAGTGGATCTCCGATTGCAGCGTGCCTCAGAAGTAGAAGCATTGGCTAGACCATGTGCTAGATTTGGCTAGCATTGGCTGCAAAAAGTTAGGCGCGAGATGTGTGAACATGCGCTAGTGGCCGCTTCAAAAAGACACTTGTTCTTCATATCCCAAGTCCTGGATCTTCCGATCGCACCGTTTTGCCTCGGGGAATAGAAGCGTCGAAGCGTTTGCTTGCAAGGATAACTTTTGCCATCTACTCGAAAAGTGATCGTTTTCCTGAATGTGGAAAGGAAGAGGAGCAACTAAAAAGTGCGCTTTTGGGATTGTAGCGGGGAATCGGGCCTGTTGCACTGCCGAAGTACACACTTCATGAGGCCCGAAAAAGCCAGTTTCGAAAAGTGCCCGGTTTCCTCAAAAAGAGAGGCTTTCCCGAAAACAGTCCTTTTTGGGGTGCCGGAAAAAACATGCCAAACGAAGATCTAGGGTGGCAGGAGCGCAGCGCGGCTTGCGCCACCGACGTGGTGCGACCCGGTACGAGACTCCAAGCGCATGAGCAAACACACAGATAATCAGTGTGTTCCGCTGTGTCCCCAGATGCGAACACAAACAGGAAATGGCGATGTATGCCGCAAGCAACCTGAAAGCAGCGCGATTCCCCAAGCCCATTTGTTCGTGTGATCCCTTCGCACTCTTATCACTTGGTGTCAGGATTTGTAGCCTCTCACTGCATGGGCTGCAGACAAAACCCGTTGCCACCATGTTGGGCAGCTTCTCTGAAACAGCCTCACGCTTTTGGCTAGCGACTGATGCCCGTTGCAATATGCTCGGCTCCGTCCGCAGGGCGCTCGGTACGTGACTGAAGTGCAAAGGTCCCAGAGTGCACTCTGACCGTGTACGCGCGAATCATTCTCTAAATTCAACTGGCCAAGGAAGGTCCAACATTCCGATGTCGGTTTTTCCTCTGATTGCACCGCCAGGCAGAGATACCAAGAGATGAGCTACTTGTAGCGCTGAGAGGCGAGATAATAAGACGATAGGAAAATTACGAAAGGGCCTAGAAAGATCAATAACCGGAGAGATGTTTGGAAAGCAAAGGCTGTTCCAACTCGTTGATCGACAGCTTCACTCGCAAAGGTAGCAAAAGGAGTGCCCCGCCAGACCTGCGCCAACCGTGATTTTTGGGGCTGGTTATTACATGGGCTAGACATTGGACACGAACGGGGGTCCCCATTTTGGCACATACCCGTATAAACCTTTAACTGTGCTAGTCAAACCCAGACTTGTCAAATCATCTTCGGTGAAGAAGGATATTTTGGAAATGGAGGTGTTGAAACTGGTGGTGCAGGTTTGTTTGGTCTCCTGACGCTATTGAACGGAAGGCCCCGAGCTGTGAGGCAAACTTGCTTCCACGGCATTGTTGAGATCTTTTTGGAGGCCAAGGCTAGAATGTTCAATCATGGCTAAACGACCATTGGTTGCACAAGCATAGTTTCGCATCTGCTTATCTAAAAGGATTGCTGGCCGACCCCATTCCTGCAAGAGGAACCCTCTAAAATGCGTGGAGTGTTTCGACTGGAATTCTTTTTGGGAAGCGCATCTCGCAAATGAGTGACTTTTGGGTGACCAACACAGACCAGAACCTTTGCGGCGCGCACGACACGGAAGGGCGAGACAGATGAGGTAGTGAGTAACCAGGGGAAAGCATCGGGCAAAACCTATAGTGGCAGCTGGAAGCACTGGGTGGCCTCGAATGAACTGACGCCTAACAGGGAGTCGTCCGAAAGGTTCTTACATTCAGGTATGAAGGGAATATGTTTTCGTCTTAGCTTCGAGATGGAGGTCGCGAAATTTACTTTGTTTCTCGCGAACGTTTTGTGTGCGTCGCTGCAAAGGTCCCCAGCAGAAAGCAGCTTGTTGGAGTTTGGAAGCATTTGGACGCTTTCGGTCCAGTTGAGCGCAACTTACCAGCCGAATTTTCGCTAACGTTTGGTGACAGATCCGCGAACAGCGCTCCGAATTTGAGCGGGGAATGGCCATGGCTCTGACCAGTCCCTAGGAGCCAGGCCTTGGCCCCCCAAAAGCCAGATGTATCTGGGCCCACGAAAAAGAAGCCGTCTCGCCTTTTTTGGTTGGGCTTCCGTCTCATTTTCAGCCTGAACAGCTGTTCGCATCCGGTCAAGATCAACTCACCCAAACGGTACCCTATATTTACTTGGGTGGTAACCCAGGTTGCAACCCACTTGCAAGTCCACCTCAGCGGGGCTAACGTGTTATTAGCGAGATTTAACTCAGGTGGCCAACCACTTACGAACTTCTCGAATCGAACATCCAAGAATCGTTTCAGGTGTGGTGAAAAGTGGGGTTTGTGAATTGCAGATTCTGAAAACAACTACGGCCAAGCGCCCACCATAAGGGGCTTGTCATTTGCAAACTGAAAACACCCTAGGACTTTGGATCGCTGGTTGGGCATGTCAATGTGACAGGGGTAGGTGTTCCCCAGTGATTCAAGACCGCCTTGTTGTTGCTGATGTGGCGTGAGTAAAGAACATCATCTTTAGACTCCAGACCAATGAAAGGGGTCTTGAGATGAACCATTTCCAACGGGAAGCACTTCTCATTTGCCTGGAGAGGAAGTTATCCACGCGAACATGTTTGGCGGCTCATTGGTTCGAGGCGGCTTCGTTGCTTCCTTCCTTCCTTCCTTCCTTCCTTCCTTTCTTCCTTCCTTCCTTCCTTCCTTCCGTCTTGATGTGGCTTGTAGTGGGTGTTACTTTGTTGAGGGTACCCGTTTGCTGCAGCTGGCTGAGAAGAACTTAGAACCGTGCACGGTGGCCCTCTCAAGGCTAATTGCCGCGCTTTGGGAGATGGTTACCTCTCAAGATGTCTAAGAGGGTCCGCTCCTCTGATTGGTCATATGATGGCAAGGCAACTGGGCAGAAGACTTGAGAGCGTGCAGGCCGGGATTTGCTGCTCCTGCCCCGCGGATTTCAAGTAAGACAACTGAACGTAAGACTTGAGTGGCTTCAGCGCTGCCAATATCGACACGCTTGTTCCGTACGTGCTGGTCGTTGAAGCTGGTGATTGGCAGCCATGCAGATGTTTGCGCAGCAAGGCAGCGCTTGCCTCATGTACTGCCAACAACTTCGAAATGCCAATTTGCTCAGGTGAGTCCTTTGCGACTGTCAAATGTTTGATCAATGAGGCCAGCCTTTGCTTGAGCTCCCTTGTCAGTGTGTGCTGCGTGCGCCCCCGACTACGAAGTGTTGGTGGACGGTTGGGCTGCACTTGAGAGATAGGCCAAACTGCCTCATCCAGAGATAAGCCTTCCGCGTTGCATTTGTTGCTTTGCAGGAACGATATAGCGAAACCCAAAAAACGATAGCCTCACATGGCCTGTCTGCAACATTGGAGGACGATACAGTGAAACCCAAAAAACGATACCTTCCTGATCGAAATCGCCCAAAGTAGTCTTGCCGCTCGCTCACTTGTAAACATGCAGTTCACATGACTGATCGCGCCCTATGTGCGCGCATTTGTCACGTTTGGCTACGCGACACTCTCTGAGCAGCAAGCCATGGGAAGTGCACTCTCGTGCAGCCAGCCTTTGCCTTAGGCCAAGCTGAAGGCGCAGATGGAGCGCAAGGTGAGGGATTCCACATGTTTAGCAACAATCCCAGAGCAATCCAGAGTGACTAGCTTGGGAAGCCGCGTGTGCTGTGGCCAACAGCAGTGCCAGCGACTAGAGGAAGAGGTATTGACTTGATTGCTTGAATCTGCTTGAGGACTTGCGGTAAGACACAGAGAGCGGATTAGGATCGACTGGAGCATGTGGTGGGCAAGCAACCAGGCACCGAGCCTGGGGGGGTGTATGGGTTCAGGTGTCGTGTGTGCTCAAAGCCACATGGTTCAAGCCACGATGTTAGAGCCAGCCCACTGAAAGCGCTCAGGTCCTCACCGTCTGCGCGCTAGCGCCAAGGTCCCGAGGCCAAGTTGACTGCCCCTGCCTGCAGCCGCCAATTCGGCCGTGGGAAGCATGGCAGCTGGCACCCCGCATACGTGTGCAGAGAACGTGCGCGCCGCACGTGCTATCAGACGCCAATCAAGTCGCATTGCAGCGGCTCGCGCTGCGCACATGCACACACTTCAGGACGTGTTCGCAACCTTGAAAAGACGCACGTTCATATCCCAATCCGTTACGAACACTTGATCAGTTTGGGCAATCCAAGCTGATTGGTTTCGGCATACTTTTCAGCGAAAGGGCTGCCTCGCTTCCTGAACGAGTCTGGCCCATGTTTTCGTGCATGTGGCCAACAGCATTGCAAGCAGCTGGAGGGAGAGGTGTTGGATCAATCGCGGAAGACGTGCGAGTCACTCCAATGATGGTTCATTGCATGTGCACACGTGATGTTAGACATGCATATAAGACGCATGCAGCGCAGGACGTGGGCGCGGCATGTGCTATCAGACACCACTTGAAACGGACGCGTGTTCAATATACCCCAAACCGTTCGAGGCATCGAACACTTGATCAACGAAACATGTGAAATGCTTTGTTACTGTGCACAGACCGTTGCGAGACAAAGAAACTCTCTGCTTTTGGCTACTGACTAGTGCCCCAAGATTGGAGAGTGGTGGATTTTCGTTGGCTCCATCTTATAAGTAAGGCTTTATCAGGCAGTCTTGTTCAGAAAGCATCATAGTATCTGCCTGCTTTCTGGCAAGCTCAATTTGAAAAAACGAGCACAATTCAATATACGTTGGTGGTTTGGCCCACGTTTGTAAGCGTTGCAGTTGGCACATCACAGATGTTGCAATGCGATCGCGCCATATGTGCTATCCGAAATCCCAATTTTACCAAGCTTAAGTGAGCCCTTTGTGGTTGCTGGCAGGGAACACTTGTGCAATGAGCGTGTGCGCATGTGTCATGTTTGGCAACACAAGGCCTCAGGTTACAAGCCAGGCAATTGAGGGGATTGCACTCTCGTGCGGTCGCCTGACTCCTAGCTGACCTCTCCCTGCACATGCTTGGCCTGATCCCTGCTTCCTGTCTTGAGTGTATTCGTGGCCATGTTCGAGCACCTCTGGCGCGCAGATGTTTGCAATGCGCTGTATGTGGCGAAAACAAGGCAAGGCGCACTTTTTCACCAAACCGCGGTGAGCCCTTGGCAATCCGTTGCAGTGATCAGCAACGTGTTCAGTGGTTCTGTGCCAGGAAAGTGCGCTCTCGTATAGCCAGCCTGCGCCTTCCTGCCTGCTTAAGAGATGCCCGAACTCTGCTTTCTACTTCAGATCTTGCAGCGCAGGTGACTCATGGCGCCATATTTGCTGTCCGAAAACACGTAAAAACAATGCAATTTCCATGTTTACCAATCCGCTTGGGGGAGCGCTTTGGCAGAGCTGTCCTTTTCATGCGGGGCAAGCTGTAGAAGCAAAGGCAACGATGCGACGCAGGGCACTTGCATTTCGTATGGATTGACGTCAGCTATAACTTGGTTTCGTCCGTGGTAAGACAACAGGCACTATAAATATTTGCATTGGTCAGGCCGAGCAACGGGTATTCGCGGCTCAGAACCCTGAAGCCGGGTTCTCAAGTCAGACATGTTGCTGCTACTTTCCTCCGAAAGAGTTGCAGAGATTCAGAACAGCAACCTCAATTTTGCAGTGCCCAGCCCGAACGCTCAATACGTCTGGCGCACTTTTCTGCACCCCTCCTGCCTTGAATGTGTTTCTGGCCCAAGAAAGTGCGCTCTCGTGTAGCCAGCCTTCGCCTTAGGCCGAGTTGACTGCCCCCTGCCCAAGCTTTGCCCGCACCCTGCTTCCTATCTTGACTTTCTTCAGTGTTGGTGGCCAATTATGCCGCATTTGCAAGCATGGCGGCTGGTGGCGCACAGATGTCATGATGTCGCAGCGCAGGATGTGTGCGCCGCATGTGCTGTCGTACACCACCCAGTGATACGGGTGTTTGACTTGTTACAGTTCGTGGCAAAGCAACAGCTCTCTGGTTTTGGCTAGCGGCTAACGCCCCGCGACTATTGCAAAGTGCCGGCTCCTCACGCTGACTGCCCCTCCCATGCTGTGCCCGAACCCTGCATCTCAACTTGCTGTCATTTGTGGCTCGCACCATGAGCCCGCAAGAGGGTTGCGACAGTGTTTGAAGGGATTTGGGGCTTCGTCGCCTCCTAGATCTTCCAACTGCACTGTATTTTCCGCTCAGACATTAACACGTCTTTTTTTTCGTGAAAACCATGCCGTTTGCTCAAAAAGTGATGGCTTTCCTCAATATGGGAAAAAGACGGACAGCAAAAAAGGCATGCTTCTTGAAATTGCGCCCGTTTGCGTGAAATTGCACCCTTTGGCCGGAATCTCGCTGCTTCACACATTTTACGCACGAGGTCCCCCAAAAAATGGCACTCCTTCCGAGAAAACGCCGTGCGTTTCCACCATGGCATCGTTTTTCCAAGAAGGCATCCGTTTGGAGGTCACCAAGAAGAAGAATGGCAAGCGTTGATCGGCGGCTGGCGCTGAGATCCACACGGTGTAGGACGTGTGCACAGTGCTGGTGGCCGCTTCAAGACACTTCCTCATATCCCACTCGGTGGATGTTTGCAAGCGAAACATGCCATTTGCTTGAAAAGTGATCATCGGCAGTGTTTGAAGGGATTTGGGGCTTCGTCGGCTGCTTTGGCTCCTAGATCTTCCAACTTCACTGTTTTTTTCCGCTCAGACATTAACCCGCCTTCTTTTTCGTGAAAACCATGCCGCTGGCTCAAAAAGTGATGGCTTTCCTGAATATGGGAAAAAGACGGACAGCAAAAAATAGCATGCTTCTTGAAATTGCCGTTTGCGCGAAATTGCACCCTTTGGCCGGAATCTCGCTGCTTCACACATTTTACGCACCAGGTCCCCCAAAAAATGGCACTCGTTCTGAAAAAAAGCCGTGCGTTTCCCCCATGGCATCGTTTTGCCAAGAAGGCATCCGTTTGGGGGTCTCCAAGAAAAAGAATGGCAAACGTTGATCGGCGGCTGGCGCTGAGATCCACACGGTGTAGGACGTGTGCACATGTTCTGGTGGCCCGAGGCTCCAACTGTTCGCTGCGCTGGGGGCATGGCATCAGTGGCGTGCTCGGGACAGTCGAGCGCATGAGCAAACACGCAGACAAGCAGTGCGTGCTGTGCCCAAGATGCGAACACATTCGAAACGGCGATGTATGCCGCAAGCAACCTGAAAGCAGCGCGATTCCCCAAGCCCATTTGTTCGTGTGATCCCTTCGCACTCTTATCACTTGGTGTCAGGATTTGTAGCCACTCACTGCACGGGCTGCAGACTTAACCTGTTGCCACCATGTTGGGCAGCTTCTCTGAAACAGCCTCACGCTTTTGGCTAGCGACTGATGCCCGTTGCAATATGCTCGGCTCCGTCCGCAGGGCGCTCGGTACGTGACTGAAGTGCAAAGGTCCCAGAGTGCGCTCTGACCGTGTACGCGCGAACCATTCTCTAAATTCAACTGGCCAAGGAAGGTCCAACATTCCGATGTCTTTCCTCTGATTGCACCGCCAGGCAAAGATACCCAGAGATGAGCTGGCGCTGAGAGACCAGATAAGACAATAGGAGAAGCACAAAAAGGCCTACCTGGACCCTCAATCACCCTTCGTTTTTGGGGTGGTGCTGTGTTGCATTCATTTTTGGGGTGTTTTGTAATTTTTTGGGGTGTTAGTTCCATGTTTGGGTATTTTCGTTTTTTCATGCGCTGCTTTGTCAACCCTGCAATTTCGCTAGCGGTGTGTTTGACTTGTTTGAATTAACAACGTTGTTGTTCACTGCGCAGGGCTTGCTTGAAAGATACAAGTGCCAAGTCAAGCAGCGGCGCGGACCTTGCTGTCACCCAATGTCAAACCTCCAGGTTCAGCTCAGCTGCGCAATGCCTTTGATGTTGGCATGGGAGAAATCATCAAACATAATTTGACCTTGATGGCTTGAATGCCAACACAACACAAGGGAAAACAAAAGCCGCGCTATTAGCCTTTCATTTTTGTGTGAGAAAAACATTTGTGAGTTGCACAAGTTAAGAAGGCTGCTCCGTTGCGTGCTGCCTAGTGTTGGAGCCGATCACTGAGCCGCAAGGCATCCAAACCAGGTTTCCTTTGGAAGCGAGCAGGTGGCTTGGTGCACCACAACTCAAACTGATGTTTAGGAGGGCGCTGCGACAATGCAAAGAACCAACATCACTTAAACAGGAGTTAGACATTTCGAGTTGTTGCTTCTAGTGTGTGCGGTGCGCTTTGCGCGGCACACATCACAAACGGTCTTTCATGGCAGAACCCGGTCTTCTAATGGCTTGAAACAGTGTGCCATGCGCAGTTCACTGCATGTTCATGTAATGTCACTCTACTTTCACGACTGTAGAGTCCAAGAAGGTATAAGTTCAATGAACAAATATTGTCGCAACAAATTCAGAAGGATATCTTTCGCAGACTTTGTAGCATCGCGATGGGAGTGATTCCGTATTTGTCCACAGCTCTGTGCCTTTGGGCCATGTGCCCAATATTGCTTCAATCTACAAACAACACAAGAAACAGTTTAATTAAGCATGATATACAATACTTTGCAAATTCGGGTATGTTCTGTTTCACCATGCCTCCTAGATGATCAAGTTCACATGTTGTTTGAACGGTGGTTCTCTGGCTAATGCGACTCAGCGCAACATGTACCAGTTGCCCTTAAAGTTGATGTCCTGAAGCAAGCATACAGCCAAAGGGTCCAGTCTTTATATGATAGCAGGCAAGCTTGCAACACCTGCTATTCTGCGAACAGTAGCTGTCACTAGCAATTGAATGGTCGTTCCGTAAGCTCAGTATTCTGCGAACAATAGCTGCCACTGGCAATTGAATGGTCGTTCCGTAACGTCCACCTAGGATTAAACATTGCACCTGGAATAAAGACAAACGGGTGGCCCCCAAAAAAATGCACCTGGAATAAAGGCAAGCACCCGCCACCCCCCCAAATGTTCTGAACGAAAAGTATAAGAAACATGACAAAATGGAACAAAAAGAGAAAGAAGAGGAGAGGTAGCCAAGCCAACACCTGGTCCTTAGATCTTTGGTACCTTGTTCTTCAGCTCCCCAAAAATCAAACTGTCCAGCTGCCCAAGAAGTCATGGTTTCTTACATGTCTCTTGTTTAAAAACTGCCCGCAATCAAACCTGCAAAGGGGGTGGGTAGTACTTCAGGCCCCCAAACTTGAGCCCAAGACTTTATTTCAGGGGCCCCTACAATAAAGTCTTGTTGTCTGGCCCAATGGAAATATACAACTAGCCCAGTGTAACTACCTATGAAGCTTCGGGCTTTGTTGTTAGATTTGGGCCTGCTTCCCTAAATCAAACATGTCCAGCTTCCCCAAGCTCTTGTTTTCTTGCATGTCTCTTGTTTAAAAACTGCCTACAACCAAACCCACAAACAACCTAGTACTTCAGAAACTTCACCCCCAATGTGACATTATTTCAACGGCCTCTGAAATAAAGTCTTGTTGCCTGCCCGCGGCTGCCCGCGTCCAAAAAAGTATCAAAAGGAAGCTCCAGCAATGCAAAATCAAATAGCAACTCAGTTCTAAATCGCAAAAGGAAGCTCCGGCAATTCTAAATCACATGGAAACTCAGTTCCATGTCTCAAAAGGAAGCTCCAATGCTAAATCAAATGGAAACTCAATTCCAAGTCTCAAAAGGAAGCTCCAGCAAGGCTAAATCAAATGGAAACTCAGTTCCAGATCTCAAAAGGAAGCTCCAGGAATGCTAAATCAAATGGAAACTCCATTCCAAATCTCAAAAGGAAGCTCCAGCAATACTAAATCAAATGGAAACTCCGTTCCAGATCTCAAAAGGAAGCTGCAGAAATATTAAATCAAATCGAAACTCCATTCCAGATCTCAAAAGGAAGCTCTAGCAATACTAAATTAAATGGAAACTTAAGCCTACCAATACTAAAGCAAATGGAAGCAAAATTGAACTGGATCTCAAGAGATTATTCTAGACACCCCCTTTGTTGGGGGGGAGAGGGCCCCCCCTTTACTAATCCCAGGCGAACATTACTCCGAACAAAGACCATTTACAGGACATTGCTCCGAACATAGTCCGGATAGGTGGACAGGGTCCGCCGGACCGGTTGGACGGCCCGGACGGGTCCGGACGGGTCTGGATAGGTCCGGACGGGCCCGGACTATCAAAAAAATGTGTTTTTTTCAAAAAAATGTGTTTTGGTTCGGACTAGTCCGGGACGGACGCTTAAATACGCCTTTTGGACGCCTAAATACGCCTTTTCGGACGCCCCGCTGGACGCCCAAAACAAAAAAAGGTGTTTTGGATAGAAAAAGGTTTTTTTGTATGTTTTTCTCGTCCGGACGCGTCCGGAGGCGTCCGCCCTTCCGGACCCTGTCCACCTATCCGAACTATGTTCGGAGCAATGTCCTGTAAATGGTCTTTGTTCGGAGTATTGTCCACCTGGGATTAGTAAAGGGGGGGCCCTCCCCCACCCCAACAAAGGGGGTGCCTAGAATAATCTTTCTTTAGTATCGGTAATTAGACTTGAATTTCCATTTAATTTAGTATTGCTGGAGCGTCCTTTTGAGATTTGGAATGGAGTTTCTGATTGATTTAGAGATTTGGAATTGAGTTTCCATTTGACTTAGTATTGCTGGAGCTTCCTTTTGAGATTTGGAATGGAGCTTCCATATGATTTAGAGATTTGGAATTGAGTTTCCATTTGACTTGGTATTGCTGGAGTTTCCATTTGATTTAGCATTCCTGGAGCTTCCTTTTGAGATTTGGAATTGAGTTTCCATTTGATTTAGCCTTGCTGGCGCTTCCTTTTGAGATCTGGAATTGAGTTTCCATTTGATTTAGCATTGGAGCTTCCTTTTGAGATTTGGAATTGAGTTGCTATGTGATTTTGCATTGCTGGAGCTTCCTTTTGAGATCTGGAACTTAGTTTCCATTTGATTTTGTATTGCTGGAGCTTCCTTTTGATACTTTTTTGGACGCGGGCAGCCGCGGGCAGGCAACAAGACTTTATTTCAGAGGCCGTTGAAATAATGTCACATTGGGGGTGAAGTTTCTGAAGTACTAGGTTGTTTGTGGGTTTGGTTGTAGGCAGTTTTTATACAAGAGACATGCAAGAAAACAAGAGCTTGGGGAAGCTGGACATGTTTGATTTAGGGAAGCAGGCCCAAATCTAACAACAAAGCCCGAAGCTTCATAGGTAGTTACACTGGGCTAGTTGTATATTTCCATTGGGCCAGACAACAAGACTTTATTGTAGGGGCCCCTGAAATAAAGTCTTGGGCTCAAGTTTGGGGGCCTGAAGTACTACCCACCCCCTTTGCAGGTTTGATTGCAGGCAGTTTTTAAACAAGAGACATGTAAGAAACCATGACTTCTTGGGCAGCTGGACAGTTTGATTTTTGGGGAACTGAAGAACAAGGTACCAAAGATCTAAGGACCAGGTGTTGGCTTGGCTACCTCTCCTCTTCTTTCTCTTTTTGTTCCATTTTGTCATGTTTCTTATACTTTTCGTTCAGAACATTTGGGCGGGGGTGGCGGGTGCTTGTCTTTATTCCAGGTGCATTTTTTGGGGAGCCACCCATTTGTCTTTATTCCAGGTGCAATGTTTAATCCTAGGTGGACGTTTCGGAACGACCATTCAATTGCTAGTGACAGCTATTGTTCGCAGCATACTGTAGCATGCCTTGCAAGCTTGCCTGTTATCATATAAATACTGGACCCTTTGGCTGTAACAGTGAGGGTCTTGTGGCAGTTTAGCGCTGTGAGCAAAGCTTAAAAACAATATGCTTGCTTCACGGCATCAACTTTAAGGGCAACTGGTACATGTTGCGCTGAGTCGCATTAGCCAGAGAACCACAGTTGAAGAGTTGAAGCAACATGTGAACTTGATCATCTAGGAGGCATGGTGAAACTGAACATACCCGAATTTGCAAAGTATTGTATATCATGCTTAATTAAACTGTTTCTTGTGTTGTTTGTAGATTGAAGCAATATTGGGCACATGGCCCAAAGGCACAGAGCTGTGGACAAATACGGAATCACTCCCATCGCGCTGCTACAAAATCTGCGAAAGCTATCCTTCTGAATTTGGTGCGACAATATTTGTTCATTGAACTTATACCTTCTTGGACTCTACAGTCGTGAAAGTAGAGTGACATTACATGAACATGCGGTGAACTGCGCATGACACACTGTTTCAAGCCACTAGAAGACGAAGACCGGGGTTTGCCATGAAAAACCGTTTGTGATGTGTGCCGCGCAAAGCACACCGCACACACACTAGAAGAAACAACTCGAATTGTCTAACTCCTGTTTAAGTGATGTTGGTTCTTTGCATTGTCGCAGCGCCCTCCTAAACATCAGTTTGAGTTGTGGTGCACCAAGCCACCTGCTCGCTTCCAAAGGAAACACCTGACTTGGATGCTTTGCGACTCAGTGATCGGCTCCAATGCTAAGCAACACTCAACGGGGCAGCCTTCTCAACTTGTGCAACTCCCAAATGTTTGTCTCACACATACATGCAAGGCTAATAACGCGGCTTTTGTTTTCCCTTGTGTTGCGTTGGCATTCAAGCCGTTTGGGCCAAGGTCAAATTATGTTTGATGATTTTATTTCATTCCAACATCAAAGGCAT